CGAGTTCGGCCCTTTTGATTCTCCGACTCTAGCTCCTTGCACATTGCATTGTAATATTTTGCTTTGTCATTCTGAGCTGCCTTTTGGAATCTTCGGTTCAGCTCTTGAATATCTTAAATTCTTCCTTGTGCTTTGACTTCTCTGAGCTCCAGTGCAATCTTCAGAGTTTCTTCTGACATCCATTTTGGTCTTTTCTTCCTCTTCTGTCTTTGTAATGACCGTTTACACTCTTCCTGAATGATATCTTTGACATCCTCCCACAACTCATCTGGTCTTCGCTCATTAGTGTACAAGGCCTCAAACCTGTTGCTGAGATGATTCTGAAATTCAGGTGGGATGAAATCAAAGTCATATTTTGGCTCCTGTGGATTTGGTTTAAGTTTCTTCAGCTTCAGCTTGAATTTGCATATGAGTAATTGGTGGTCTGTTCCACAATCAGCCCCCGGCCTAGTTTTCACAGCTGATATTGAGCTTCTCCAGCGTTTTTTTCCACAGATATAATCGATCTGATTTCTATGCATACCATCAGGTGAAATCCATGTGTATAACCTGCGTTTATGTTTCTTATAAATCGTATTTGCAATGAATAAGTCACTGATTGTACAAAACTAATCATTCTTCTTCAGCTTCACATACACAAAAAAATAATAAAGGCTCTGTATGATAAAGACACTCTTATAAATGCTGTTAAAGTCATACTTAAGCTTTATGTTAACACAGTACCATTAAATGACAAATCACATCTTTTCATGATCACTTAAATGCAGAAAATTCTCATGTTTTGTGAAAAGCTAGAATCTTGCTATATCTCATTATTGCTAGGTTCTGTTGAGTCAAACACAACTTAGAGATCCTATAATTAAGATTATCTGAACCCTGTTTTATCCTGTGCCAACTTCACAATCTCTGACACACTCGAACCCATTTCTGTAGTCACTGTGTCAATCCACCTGGTTGAGAATCTTCCTCTTTTTTTTTTGTGCTGCACCAAGCATGATGTTCTTCTCTAAGTAATGGCCTCTTCTGGCCATGTGCTCATGAGCTTCAAAAACCTTGATTCTTTGGGGCAGCTTGGTCTCACCGTCTCCAGGCCAGATCTCCTTGTTCTCTTGGCAATCCATGGTATATTCAAGACTTTTCTCGAGCACCACAACTCAAAGGCATCAATTCTTCTTCTGTCATCCTTAGTCACTGTCCAGCTCTCAGATGCACAAAAAGTTACTGTGAAGACCACAGCCTGAATCAGCCACATCTTAGTGTCAAGACCGACACTGCTCTTTAGCATCTTGAAGAGGTACCTGACAGCAGATTTCCCTAATGCAATTCATCTTTGTTGATTGTTCAGCCAAGCAAGCTGGAATTGTTAACAACCTCAATCTTTTTTCCATGTATCATGGTGCTGTCAACTGGTGCAGCAGTGAGAATCTTTGTTTTCTTGATGTTGCAGGTCAATCCCCATTGAAGACTATAATCCTTGACTTTATGCACCAAATGTCTCAGGTCCTCCTCAATTTTGGCAAGTAAGATTATGTCATCTGGTTGTTCTCTCATTATCTTCCCCTGAAACCAAATATTGTCCCTTTGGTCTCAGACAGTTCACTATAATAAGATGTACATTCCTTCTTGGTGTTATAGTTCACGTTAATGGCCTGCTGGGTAGGTGAAGGTTGATCCACAAGAGTGAGTTTATATTCAGGCTTGGCCCTATTTAAGGGCCATAGTCTCAGAGGATTTGCCAGTCTTTATCAGACCAGTCTTTTTATGATTTTTAATTCTCTTCCTCATCCTTGCTCCAGGGCCTTCTAGTGTGACCCCAATAAGTGAAGTGGGTAACTGGGCATCATCTAGTTCCTTCTGATCTCAGAGAAGTGGAGGCTGCAGTTCATGTAATCCATTACTCCTCCAGACTGTTTACTTTTATCTTTGGTATCTGTCACTGTTCTTTGAAAATGGGCTGTCTTCTGTCTAATTTACAGTCTCAGACACACACAAAAGGTCAGTTATGAGTTGGTTCCCAAGTCTTGAGCTTTACGCATTTTCTCTTCTTTGCAAATGGCTATGTCTTAATTCACATGCTTCTGGAGGCAAAAATGTAGAATATTGGAGATTTTTATCTTTTTCTCAGTCTATTTCCCTTCCTACGTATCTCTCCCCTCTTATTCACATCCTACTCATTCTTCAGTATTTCTTTGTAAAATGTGTTCTATCCAATTCAATCTGTAGTTTGGTTCCAACTTGACAGTAGGCAACAAAACCAGTAACAAGCTCTTCCCTCTTACCCACATCCTATCATTCTTCAATATTTTTTAATAAAATGTTTTCTACCCAATTCAATCTTCAGTTTTCTTTCTCTTACTTTATGCTTTTAGTTTTTTCTGTTCTTGTTATACTAGTCACATTTTTAAAATTCTGAAACCCAAACTCACTTCCATCAAGTCAATTCTGACGCACAGAAACCCTCCATCACATTTTCAAGACTGTGTACCTTTATCTTGCTCCTCTGGAGGAACTGGTACATCTCTTTAAAGTTTGAAAAAGCAAGACTGTCACTTTAAAGAACAAAGTATCTCTGACTCAGATTAGGGTTTTTTTCATTTGCCTCATCTTCATGTGAAAGTAGGATAATGAATAAAAAAGATAAACTGGGTCTCATATAAAGAGGTCAATCTTTGGAAAAGGGTCAGTGAAAAATAAGACCCTAAGCAATATTGACTGTCACAGTGGCTGTAACAATGGGCTTAAGCACAGCACAGATTGTGAGGATAACACAGCATTTGGTAGCTTTTCATTTTCTTGCATACAGAATTGCTATGACCCCAACTCAGCATCACCTAACAAGAGCCAAAAAATCCATGTAACTGAAATACTTGATATATTGAACAGATAAAAGTTGAAGAGTTAATATTATAATGAAAATGATTTTATTATTGTTTAAAATTCTTTTGGGGACAAAAAGGGAAAACTCCATCTTTTTTAAATCAATTTTTTTGAAATGTTTTGTTCAGATTATTTCCCTTTTTACAAGCAAGTCTCCTCTTTACAAGGGTAAATAAGTTAGGTCCAGTATTAATTAACTGACATGTCTTATCACATTTATTTCCAGTATTATTTGTAGTATGCATGTTTCTTGAATTCCAGATCAGCGTTCCTTCTACCAAACATTACTTCTGAAAAAATAAATATTCATTAATTGGTTAAATAAACAAATAACAGAAAAAACAAAATTATTTAACTGAAACAATTTCCAGAATGAAAATGTATGCACTGTGAAATCGAATTTTAAACAAAATACAGGCTAAGATATATCCAGATTCAGGAGGAGAAAGAGAAAATTCAATGTAAACATGAATTATACAGTGCTGTATTAATTTTACAATACTCTAAAATACATCTTTTATTTTTAAACATGTATTTTAAAACTAAGGTAATAAGTAGTGGTCAGACAAAAGGCCTAAGTCCTCAGAAAAAGCCCCACAATATATAATTTCAAGAGAATACAAGAAAGTCAACTATTACAATCATTTGTTGTCATGTAGATGCATCGAAAGAGTAGTTTCTACTAGTTCTTTTAAAAAGATGTACCAGATGCACAGAGACCCTCCATCACATTTTCAAGGCTGTGTATCTTTATAGGAGATGGTACATCTTGCTCCTATGGAGCAACTGGTACATCTCTTTAAAATCTGAAAAAGCAAGACTGTCACTTTAAAGAACAAGGTGTCTCTGACTTAAATTAGGTTTTTTTCAATTGCCTCATCTACATGTGAAAGTTGGATAATGAATAAAGAAGATAAACTTGGTCTCATATAGAAGATGTCAATCCTTGGAAAAAGAAAAGGGTCAGTGAAAAATAAGACCAAGTGGTGCAACCACTCTGGAAGGCAGTTTGGCACTTCCTCAAAAAGCTAAACAAAGAAATGTCGTATGACTCAGCTATTCCACTGCTTGGAATAGATCCAGAGAAAATGAGAACTGAGGCACAAACTGAGATTTGTACACCAATGTTCATAGCAGTGTTATTCACCATCACAAGAACATGGAAACCACCTTGATTTCCAACCACAATCGAATGGACTGAGAAATTATGGTACATTCATATAATGGAATACTATGCAGCACTCAGGAGCAATGATTTTGTAAATTATTATCTAGCTTGGGAGGGACAGGAGAGCATTATGCTGAACTAACTCAGTCCCCCAAGGACAAATATTGCATAAAACCATTACTGCAGAATGAGTATGAAAATCCAAGTGGGAAAGATGTGCAGGGTGGTGAGGGATTAATCGTGGGGTTGTACAATTTGATGAGTGGGGGGGGGTGTGTGTGAGGTAAACTGGAAGAATTTGATTGGAAGAATCTGATCTGAAAAACATTATATTTTAATTTCATAAATAAACTAATAAAATAAAAAATTATACTTAGCTGGTCCTAAATTAGAACAATAATTAACATAATAGCAACTTAAATTCAGATGAATTTGCAGACCATTACAATAATCTACAAAAATGTTGGCATAATATATTTCAATTTGTTTAAACATTAATACTTCTCTACTGCAGTACTGAATGGTAGCAATGTTTCCTCTAAATTGTGTAGTTCCTACCTTATATAGGCTTGACCTAGAGATTTGCAAAACTCTTCAATTGCCAGTGCTTTTGTACCATTCATATTAGAATAATAGCCAGGGATGAAGATAACTCCTGGGCTTCTGCCTTTTAGCTTCTTGTAAGCCAGGTTTGGAAGGTCTGGCCGTTTAAGGATAGAGAGAGAAGCCTTTTGTCTGCAACCTAAACAAAGCACACAAAATATAAACTCCAGTTTGCAAACAGAGTATGGGAAACTATAGACATTCTGAATCTTAACTTTCTTAATTCCTTGAATTCATGTTAAATATTATTTCACTTAGTAAGAAAAATTAAAATGTTGTTACATGTCATCGAGTAGCCTGCAACTCATATCGACCCTATGTAAAACAGCTCTGAACCCTGTTCTTGTATGAGCCAACTTTATTGTCTTTGACACACCTACCCCATTATCATTACACTGAGTCAATCTGTCTCATTGAGTGTCTTTCCCTCCTGCGCTGTCCTTCCACCCTCCCAAGCATAATGTCCTTCTCCAAGGACTGGTTCCTCCTTGCAACATGTCCCAAGTATGTCAGATGGAGCTTCAGAATCCTTGCCTCCAGGGAGGAGCCTAGTTTCACCCTCTCCAGAACCTCTGTTTGTTCTCTTAGCAGTTTATGGTATATTCAACACTCTTCTCCAGCACTATAGCTTAAAGTCATTATATCATCCCTACTCACTGTCTAGCTTTCTGATGCATAGCATGTAACTGCAAAGACTATGGCTTGGATCAGGCACACCTTAATCTACAAACTGACACTGTTGCTCTTCAGTACTCTGGAGAGGTCCCTTACAGCTGACTTTTCTAATGCAATTCATTTCTTGATTTCCTGGCTGCCGGTATCAAGAGTGTTGACTGTGGAGCCAATCATAGTAAAGCTGTTAACAATCTCAATCTCTTCACCATCTATCGTGGCGCTGCCAATTGGCCCAGTGGTGAAAACCTTTTATTTTCTTGATGTTGAGCTTCAATCCATATTAAAGGCTGTAGTCGTTGACCTTATATAATAAGTGCTTCAGGTCCTCCTCAGTTTCAGCAAGCAGGTTTGTGTTATCTGTGTAACACAGGTTGTTGTTGAGGCTGTCTCCAATCCACATTCCTCCTTATAGAGCCTAGCCTCCCAGATTATCTGTTCCACATACAGATTGAAAATGTAGGGAGACAGGACACAGCTCTCGTGTACACTCTTCCTGATTTTAATAATTAAAAGTATTAAAGCTACAAGTCTCTGCATGAGATTTTAGTTTTGAAACTGTGCCAAAATCAATACCTTCTTTGAGCAAAAGTCAATATTGATTCTTCTAAAATAAACAATGAAATGGAAAAAAAGCAACAAAAATGACTCATCAAAATATTTTCATAGTGTTGGAATTGCTATCTTCAATACTATCATTAACATTCAGACTGACCTACACTAGTTTCAGTGCTCCAGGGCGGGATTTTCATCCTGGTGGCAAGAAGCTGCCCTGCAATCTTAAAGGCACATGGTTCAAAGCCAGCAGCTACCCTGTGGAAAAAGGATGGACCATCTCCTCTCCTCTCCTCCCGTGTAGTTAACTGTCTCTAAAAACCTGCTGGAGAGTCAGCAACGGGTTGGTTCCAACTCTAGGGTACACAACAACAACGATGTCTGCATAGGGAGATCTAGAGGTAAGGAACTGTGCTGTCAATACAACGACACACAGTTCCAAACTACCCGTGGCTCTGGGGAAGAAAGATCAACTCCTGCGAAATTTACTGGCTCTGGAAACCTTTTGGAGGATCAGCTATTACTCAGTCACCACTTGACAGTATACAACAACCTCCCACTTTTGGGAAAGGGAACAGAAACAGGTTTGGTCACCCTCAAAAAAATTGTTTGAAATTTTTATAACCTTTCTTCACTTTCCCAAATGTTGTTAGGTGCCCTCATGCTGGCTTCAAATCATAGTGATCCTTAAGTTAAACAGAATAAAACACCATCTGACCTTGTGTCAACAGGTTTATACATTTTCTTAAGAATTGATGCCTTTTGGTTCTGGCATTGGAGAGGAGTCTTGAACATATCACAGACTGCCAGGAGAACAAACAGATCTGTCTTGGAGATGGTAAAACCAAGTTTCTCCTTGGAGGCTCAGATTTTGAAGTTCTGTCGCACACTTCAGGCATGTGGCCAGGAGGACCCAGTCCTTGGAAAAGGACATCATGCTTGGATGTGTGGAGGGTCAGCACAGTAGAGGTAGATCCCAAATGAGATAGACTGATACAGTGACTGGGGCAGTGGGGTTAGGTGTCAGACTAGCTTAGGACAAGGCAGGGTTGAGAGCTACTGTACATTACAGAGGGTCAGTAGGTGTTGCAAACAACTCAACAGTGCACAACAACAGTAACAACAACAGTAAATTAGTCTTTTTACTGGATAGGGAGCTCTGATGGCAAAGTCTGTAGAGAGCTACATTGCTAACCTAACGCCACACCTCTGTGGTGATCAGAATCTACCAGTGGCATAATGGGAGTACTATAGTCAATCTGTTATGTGATTTATTGCTTCCCAAAAACCTGCTGGAGAGTCAGCGTTGAATATGAGGGTTTTTTCCCACTGGCTCAACAAATCTTTTTTTCACATTAAATGGGTCTTCCTCTATTTCTTATAGTTTAAATAGAGCTCAGCTCCTTTCTGTGGAACTGCTCAAGCATCACCCATTCTGAAGTTGAGGATTAAAAAACAAAAAGAAAAATCACACTACAGACTTATTTGTAGACTCTGAAATGATCTCTCTTACATAAAAGGTTGTTCGAAAGTACAGAGAAATATGAGAAATTAAAAACTTTTCATGAAAAATAGGGCTGTTTGTTATATATATATCTACAAAAGCATTTCCCATTCCTTCAACTCACACTTTTAAAAAAATCATTCCTATTCTTTTTTATTAATATCCATCTGTCAGCATGTTGTGCTACAGTGGCTTGAGTATTGCTGTGATGCTGGAAGTTAAGCCAGTGATATATCAAACAAAAGCAGGGTCACTCATGGTGAGCAGGTTTCAGGAGGACTTCTTGACTATAACAGAATACAGAGCAACATTAGTCACTGACTTTCGGAATAATGGGTGCTCTAAAGTTCTGTGATGACACACTCTGCTTGCTGGAACTGAGGAGGACCCGAAGTGCTTGCTGCACAAGGTCAAGGACTGCAGCCTTCAATATGGATTGAAGCTCAACAGAAAAAAAAATGATTCTCACCACAGGGGTGATTGGCAGCATTATGATAAGATGGTGAAGAGACTGAGATTGTTAACAGCTTTAACTTGCTTGGCTCCACAATCAACACTCTTGGTACCAGAAGCCAATCAAATGAATTGCATTAGAAAAGTCGGCTGTTAGGGACCTCTTCAGAGTACTGAAAAGCAACAATGTCAGTCTGTAGACTAAGGTATTCCTGACACAGGCCACAGTCTTCACAATTGCTTACTATGAGTCAGAGAGCTGGGCAATGACTAGGGACAATGGAAGGAGAATTGATGCCTTTGAGCTGTGGTGTCAGAGAAGAATGTTGAATATATCATAATGGCCAGGAGAACAAACAGGTTCATCCTGGAGAGGGTGAGACCAGGCTGCTCCTTGAAGGCAAGGATTTTGAGGCTTTGTCTGACATACTCTGGGCATGCTGCAAGGAAGGACCAGTCCTTGGAGTGGGACATCACTCTGGGAAGGGTGGAGGGACAGAGAAAGAGAGGAAGACCATTGATGAGATGGATTGATTCAGTGACTGGGGTAATGAAGATGGATGCATCAGAGTCAGTAAAGTTGGCACAGGATAGAGCAGTTTTCAGGGCTATTGTACTCATATTGCTATGAGTTGCAAAGAATATAATGGCACATAACAACAACAAAGTTCTGTGATTAGCAGGGGCACATTATCTGATAGAGCCTGAAGAGGAGGGCCTCAATTAGAAGGCATTAAAAAATGGAGTTAAAGTCAAGTCTACCTTTTTGATGTATAGAGTCAAGCTTTCAGTAATCAAAGGCCTTCATTTGCCTATGTAGCATGGCTTACAGTAAGGAGAAACATCTGTAAACACCCATTAGTAAATAGAATATAGTAAGTCAAAATGGCAGGTCATTGAAAGAGGAAGTTCTTCAGTGCAACAGACTGACATAGTTACTGCAACAAAGGGCACAACAGATGTGAGAATGGCACAGGATTGGGCATGGTTTCATTCTGCTGTATAAGAGTCAGTTTACTCAACAGTAGCTAAAAAAATCTCTTTTTCCAGCTATTATCTCCCAGTAAAGGAACTCCCAACACAGTTACAATTTATTTAATCCTGGTTGTACCAAAATAATAAACTCAAAATCCAATGCCCAAGTGCTCAATGAATGTTTGCAAAACAGACGGGAGTTTTATATTCTGGTTAAGGAACTCACATGGCCTGGTGGTAAGGAGTTGAGCTAATCCAGTGCACAAATATATGTTAATTATAAGCAGCTATAGTAATGTAATGATCTAGTGCTTGTCTGTTAACTGCAAGTTTGGTAGCTGGAATCCAGCAGGAGCTCCAGAGGAGGAAAAAGACATGGAAATCTGGCCCCAGAAAGACTACATACAGCCTAAGAAACCCTATGGGGCAGGTCTACTCTATCCTGAATGGTCTTTTGCCCTACGTTTGAATCTACATGATGGCACATGACTTTGATGGCCTAGTTCTAAGGAGTTGTGTTGCTGGAAATTTCCTCTCCTTTGATTTACAGACTATGAAAATCTACTGGAGAGTCAGTCGAGTTGTTCCAACTCAATGGCTCTTGTCTTAAGTTTAAATATTGTTCTCTATGAGTTTAAAGAGTAATTGAGTAGTGCGGGTAGGTATGTCCGAGCCAGTTAGACTGGCTTAAGATAGGGAAGAGTTCGGAGCTATTGTACTCAAGAGGCGACTCAATGACACATATCAGTGGCATAAAACCACCACCACCTTAAAATTAAGTGTATCCGAAATGACCACAACTCACTTTCCAAGCACAGCGCAATCTGCCAAATCGTCTTTTATCTTTTTTATCGTCTCTTTTCTTTTTGGTCAAATACAAAGCCAAAAAGGGAAAAAGACATAATTCGGGAACACAGACTATAGATAAATGATGTGGTATAGAGGCCAAACACAAGATAAACTCAGGTTCTTGGGACTGGGGGTTCAGGTTCTAGGTTTTTTTAGAAGTAAAGCTATGATTCTAATTGGAAGCATAGAAAAAAACCTTAGAAAATAAGCGTGATAAGGAGTCGAAATTTCTACGACAACGAAACATCTTAATACTTACCAAATAAATAGACTGAATGTACAAGTTAGTTTTTTTCTAAACGGCGTTTAAAACCAAGGAGGCAAACAGAGAGCATGAGCTCTTTAAATCTGCTGGGCTCCTAACAGCAAGTGTCAGGCAGTCTAGGAGGAATTCCCAAACCTGCTGTCTGAAGCACCTTAGCATAAGGGGTGCTAAGTGAGAGAAAGGCATTTTTAAATGAGGCGCCAAAGCGCACTGGACGGGACCACGGAACCTGGGATGTCCGAAAGAACGCACCCTACTCCCACTTTCGGACACTGACCTGGAAGCCACCGTGGCACCCGCTCGGGGCTCTGTGCAAGTAAGGCGCGGAGGCCGCGGTGCAAACCGAAAGAAGCGGCCGCCGAGCACCAGCTACGACAAGGTGCCCAAGCGGCCGGCGCAGCAGCCCGCAGACCCGCCATCTTCCCAGCGGTGTCCGAGCCCCACCAGGGACAGCGGGGTAGTAAGGGCCGGAGAGCAGAGCTGCGCATGCGCAGCCGGCGAGAAGGCGGGACTTGGTGGAAAGCGCCGAGGGCGACTCCCCACCGGGAGGGTGCGCACGGGTGACATGTGATTATTGCTCTTCGTTTCTTTTCGCTTTTGCTTTACAAAGTTTGTCCTCTTGACGGCTTGGGATAATCTGTATGATCCCGGGTAACTGTCTTCTCAGCTAAGGAGACAATCCGTTATGGTATCCAGTCTTCCAGCCTGAATAGCAAAGCATCTTGGCAGACACTAGGGAGCGGAAGTGTACGAGGTGTCCCAGGGCTCGGTAACCCCGTGTCAGTTCAACCTGCACCGGAAGTGTGTCCAAACGCGCCTTGCCATCTGGCCGGGTTCTGACTCACAGCTACTCTCCTTGACTTTCAGAGACTGTGAATCCCACAGGAGGAGGTTTGCAGTCATTCTCCCTCGGAACCGCTAGTGGATTCCAACTGCCAGAGACACTAGACCTTTGCGTTATCTTAACTTCCTTTGGACTTACCAGAGCTTCCTAATGCACCCCAAAGCCACCCTGAATCCTACAGGAATCTGACACTCATCCCTTCTACTATGCTTTTCAAGTGTTTTCCCCTTAGAAGCCACATTTCTGAGTTAGTCTGACTCCTGCAACATGCTGTGTAACAAAAATAATTCCAGAAGCATGAAATATCTCAAAGAATAAAAGTAGAGAATAATTTAAAAGAGAGATATGATAGGGTATAACAGTTATCACAAGAGTCCAGAATTAAGGGTGCTCAGTGGAGTGTAGCTGGGGCGGTGGGAGGGGTGCGGGGGGGGGATTGTATACAAGAGAATTTTTCTTTTACTTTTTCAAAGAGAGGAGC